GTGGGTGTGGACGGTCCTATACCTGACCTGCGTGCTGCTGAGGCCCCTGGGGAGGGGCTAGGGAAGGAGGTACGACCATTCGTGATTGGTCCCTTGGGGTCTGCCTCTGTTACTCACTGGGCTTGGCAGATATTCAAAGTGACCAGTTTCCTGAAAGGGGCTTTTGTGGGCTCCTTGGAAGCACCCTGCTGGGGCCAATTGTCCTTCTCTCCACAAGGCAAGTCATCGCCTCCATCCGGTTGCCAGTATTTCCCTTGGCAGCCTTGGTTGTCTCGGGACCATCTGTCTGTGGAATCCTGGACGGGACTTATAAATGGCTCCTTTCTAGTTCCCTCCTGCTTGGACCATACCTGGTCTAGGAAAAGCTTATGCTCATTCTTTCCCCAGTGTTGACATAAGAATAGTTTTCTCCCAGTTAGTTTCTTTTAGTTTTATCTTAGCTCTATTGATATAACATCTCATGCCTGTTTTCAAGTTTGCCAAGCCCAAGGGACACAGGCCAAAATTAAAGGGGAGTCTCTTGAAGGCCCTTCTCACACACTGGGCAGAATGTGATGTGGACCCATGGAGTATAGATCGCCAAATTAATTATGGAATGAGGTAGATTAAACGCAAGAAAGCAAAACAAAAGCACCCCATTCAATTAAAAAATAATGAAGCATTACATATAGAAAGTGAGATTTGTGGAAATAATCAGATAAGATGGAAGAACTAATTCCAAATATATTGATAGTGACCATAAATATAAATGAACTAAACTTGCCAAGTAAAAGACAAACATTATACTGAGTTAGAAAACTAATCCAGGGAATACTGTTTACAGCAGATACAATTGAAATATAAGGACATAAAGACTGAAGTTAATAAGATGGACAGTTTATGTGACAAGTCATTTGACGTCTTGAAAGCATTAATGTTATCAAGGAAAAAATTTGAGGGTGTGTATAAACTGTCCTAGACTGAAAGACATGATGGAAACAAAGTAACTAAATGTGAGAAAGGACTATAAAAGCAATTTAGGTTTACTGGGGAAATTTGAATGTGAACTGGATAATGAAGAATATTAAGGAATCATGAATCTTATTAAGTGTGATAAAGGTATGAGGTTTATGTAAAACACATGGTGTAAAAAAAAGGTGCAGATAGAGCAAATATGATAAAGTAAGATTTTGACCCATGCATTAGTTATATGAGAGGCCATGTTACTAATACTTTTGTATATTAAAACATTTACATAGTAAATACCTTATAAATAGCTGAAACTTGAAAATTTAAACAAAATAAAACTCAAAATTATTTCAATAAATTTTATAGTAATATTTTTAATTAAAAGAAGATATACTAGGCAACTACTAACTAAAAACTGGTCAATTAGTTGATACTAATTAACTGAAAGCTGGCATAACTATATTGATATCAGAAAATATAAGCTTTAAACCAAAAATGATTACTGGACAGAAAGGATGAAAAGTGTGGCATTATAAGAAATACACTTGGTCTTTGTCCTTGGTTCTTGGCCAGAGCTCCTAAAACCCTCAGAATTTCCTTGGTGATACGCTTTATCTTTTGCTATTTCTCAGGAGACTCCGTTGATCAACCTGAGTTTGTACTAATGGGGTGACTTAGACCCTAAGATAGCCTTAGGATGGGGCTGGTCATCAGAAAGACCCAGTGACTAGAGGGTTGGAAATTTTAGGCTACTGATCTCTAAGAAGGGAATGTGGGAGGGGGTGCTGAAGATTAAGCTCTATAAAAACTGTTCAGTGAGGAGACTTGATGACCTTCCTGGGTGGTGAACATACCGAGGTATCCAGAGAGTGGCTGCCTCAAGAGGACATGGAAGCGCCTTGCATCCTCTGCCCTCATGCCTTGCCCTCCACCTCTCTTCTATTTGATTGCTTCTGAATTGTATCCATCATAATAAATTGGTAAACATTTAAGGTGCCTTTCTGAGTTCTGTGAGCCATTCTGGAAAACTACTGAAATGTTGGAGGGGTTTTGACAAAAGTACAGGTGAGTGGTGAAAGATATCTGATGTGAAGAAAGACAGTCTAAGGGGACTGAGTACTTAATGCTGTGAAGTCTGTTTAGTGTCAAAATCGAACTGATTCATTGAGCACCCAGTTGGTGTCTGGAAACTCAGAGAATTAACTGCTGGTGTTGAAAAATGCTCCACAAAGATTCTGATAAAACCTTCAATTCCCTAGGAAGGTATGATACTAATAATTCTAAAATTGTTTGCATCTAATAAAAATCCTAAAAACAGATATTAAAAATTTTGGTCTGTTTTAAGGAGAAAATGACCAGTTCACCATAGTGGGAGACCTACATACGCCTCTCTCAGGATCTGATAAATCAAGGGGACACAAAAATCAGCTAAGATATAGAAACATCGCAAAACGTTCTAACAAGCTGATTCAATGAGCTAAACTGTGAGCTGATTCATAGGGTACACTGTGAAATACAGATTCTTTCTGACCACACACAAAGGAATGCTTAACGAAAACTGACCATGCCTGAATAGGAGGCAGGTGGCCCTTTAGGAGGCACATCAGACCTCCTGGGAGTCAGGACTCACTCTCTGACACACACATACTCTGCACATACAGTACACTCACACCCAGCTTGTGTACATCACTCTGACGCACTTCCCTGCTGCATGTCCACACACATTGCCTTCTGGACCCCCTCTCCATCTCTTGTTTGTCTCCTAAACAGCACCTTTCCAGCCCAGTCATCCCAGTAAAGAGAGGAACTTCTCACCAGTGCAAGAAGGGCTCCCAACTGTTTACTGCAGGTCATGAACAGAGGGAGCCTGCAGGCTGGATTGGGGCTCCTTGAGGGTCAGGGTCTAGAATGTTCCCTGCCAGGGCTCCCCTCCCCTCTGGTTTTCCTGTCTCAGGTCAAGCCAAGACCGAGGCTTGGAGACCTGATTGAGATTTCTGCCTTTGGCTGTGAACACTGGGCCTTCTCTGGGAGCAGTGGCTCCCTCAAGTAAGGACGGGCTCTCTGTTTAAGCACCAGGGTTGAGGTGGAGAGTGGGAACAGTTGCACCATCACGTACCTGTTCTCACTTCAGTGCCTGGCACAACAGGCACTCAAGACACTCAAGGACCATTTGCTGACTTCATCATGCTCCCCACCCCCGCGGTGTACCAAGGGCTCGTCTTCATTAGAAGTGAGTTCATGGGCAGACTGTTGACTGTATTACATTAGAGAGTGGGGTTCAGTTCCAGCCAACCCCCGGTTCTTGGGAAACATCTCATCTTGGGTCCAGTCTCCTATATATTAGTTGTTCTGGAGGGACAAACAGGAATAAGACACAGTTACTTCCTTTCAATAGTTTACAACTGGCTGCACAGTGTAAGGAAAGGAGCGTGGGTCTCCCAGCTAGACAGAAGCAGTTTGGGATCCTCGGTCTCCTGCTCCCTAATTGTGCAGCTTGCACACGTGACTTCCCCCACCTCCCTGCTAAGTTCAGCTGCATCCTCTGTAGAACAGATAATAATCCTTATTTCCGGGCTGTGTAGGGATGGAGTGACAGCATGTGTGGGGAGGCACTGCGGCAGGCTTGGCCAAGTCCTGGACCAACTCCCTACTGTCTTCCATAGCATCACAGCATTAAAAAGAATGCCCAAACCCTGGAAACCATTCAATAGCAAGGAACTAGCCAAATAAAATAGATGTCTGCATTTAATGGCATATTATTCAACTATTAAAACAGCTGGAAAGCACATGTGTGTATACACATGTATGCATGTGTTTATATATATATATATATATATGTTTATATTGAAAATAAGTATAAAAGTTAGACTTATTGAAGAACATTTACAAATAGTAAATTTACCCTTTTTAGTATACAGTTCTTTGACTGTTGACAAACTCACATATCCATGTAACCATCAGCAGAACACAGATCATAGGAGAGTCACTCACCCCTAAAGTTCCCCCATGCCACTCTGTTGTCAGCCAGCCCCTCACCCCCAGCTCCACACCTCAGCTCCTGTGAGCTCTTTTCTCTCCCTATAGCTTTGCCTTTTCTAGAGTGTCATATAAATGGAATCATACAGAAGCTTGCTTTTTGTGTCTGGTTTCTTTAACATAGCAGAATGCATCTGATTCATTTATGTTGTAGCACATGACAAGCTTTGTTCCTTGTTACTGCTGAGTGGTATCCTGCTGCATGCATGTGCCAGCCTTTCTTTATTCACCAGCTGAAGGACATTTGTGGAGTTTTTGATATTTGACAATAATTATTACAGCTACTATAGATATTCCCATACAGGTTTGTTTGTGTGCATGAACATGGATTTTAATTTCTTTTGGGTAAACACTAGGGGTAAGATTGCAGAATCATAAGCTAAGATTACGGCATCCAGTCCCATCACTTCATGGCAAATAGAAGGTAAAAAAGTGGAAGCAGTGACAGATTTTATTTTCTTGGGCTCCAAAATCCCTGCAGACTGTGACTGCATCCATGAAGTTAAAAGTTGCTTGCTCCTTTGACAGAAAGTTATGACAAACCTAGATTATATATATATTAACAAGCAAAGACATCACTTTGCCGACCAAGGTCCATATAGTCAAGGCTATGGTTTTTCCAGTAGTCATGTACGGATGTGAGAGTCAGAAGGCTGAGTGCCGAAGAATTGATGCTTTCTAACTGTGGTGCTGGAGAAGACACTTGAGAGTCCCTTGGACTGCAAAGGAAATCAAACCAGTCAATGCTAAAGGAAATCAATGAACATTCCAATGAATATTCATTGGAAGGACTGATGCTGAAGCAGAAGCTCTAATACTTTGGCCACCTGATGTGAAGAGCCAACTCATTGGAAAAGACTCTGATGCTGGGAAAGATTGAGGGCAAAAGAAGAGGGTGGCAGAGAATGAGATGTTTAGATAGCATCACTGACTCAATGGACGTGAATTTGGACAAACTCCAGGAGGGGGTGAAGGACAAGGAAGCCTGGCATGCTGCCATCCAAGGGGTCACAAAGACTTGGACAGGACTTAGTTACTGAACAACAACAACAATGGTAGGTGAATGTTTATTATAAGAAATGGCCCAGTTGTTGTCCAAGTACCTTTCAGCACTATAGAAGGGCATGCCCTCTACTGGGGAAAGGAAGAACCCCTCGAGATTGCAGGAGGCACTCGGGGTGTGTGGTTCCTTCATCCGTTAGTTTTCCCTGGCCCTGGCACCTCTATTTCTGAACTCTTTCCATTGAAGGTAACTCACTAACTTGCCTTTCTTTTTCCCCCTCACCCCTTCCTTCTCATCACACTGTTTCTCTAGAAAGACTCTCCTCTGTCTCCTTCTCTCTAGGTAAGAATGTGGGCCTGTGAGAACAGTGGAACTTGAGCCACAGAACCAACGCATCCAGACTTTTGCACCAAGGGACCGTCAAACTTCAGCAGGGCTTCTGGCAACATGAGGCCATGTCTGCAGGATGACCCCTCAGATGCCAGCTTGAAAAAGCTCAATGATGCCAGGACCTGAAGCCATCCCTTTGAATGTGGTCCCCAGCAAGGATGGGGCCACTGTCTCCAAGTCTCTGTTGGGTATAGAAGTCCAGCTTCCAATCTTACCAGCTGGCCCACCCCTGCCCATGTCACTGTGTTGGTGAGCACAGCGGAGCTGGGCTGAGTATACTGGTCTTCGGGGATCATCTTCACATATCTATTGCATCCTTTTGTGTTTTCCGAGTATCCATGTCTTTATCTAGAACCGTTTCCTGACTGGCGCTGTTGGGACTTGGGGTGGGCTACTCCCAAATATATTACAATGGAACATTGCTTGTTTTGAATTAAAGTTAGTTAAGAAATGGTCAAGGCAAGAGGGATGCTCTGACTCTCCTTTCTGATCCCCTGAAAGCAGGAAATACACCCCTCAGATGAAAGGTGCCCTCCCTGCACCTGGAGGTAGAAGGACATCCTTATTGCCAGGGACAGGGAATCCAGGGGAAGAAGCCTGGATAAACGCCTCGTTACTTCTTTAGTTTACCACCCCAAGTGCAAACTCTGCTTAGATTCCTCACTAATTGAACACTCAATACCTAAGTTTTGGGACTTCCCTGGTGGTCCAGTGGTTAAGAATCTGTCTTCCAATGCAGGGGATTCAGGTTTGATCCCTGGTCAAAATACTAAGATCCCACATGCCTCAGGGCAACTAAACCTGCCCAGTGCAACGAAAGCAAGCCTGCAACCAGAGCAAGCCTTCAGCTAGAGGAAACCTGTGCACTACAACCAGGAGCCCTTGTGCTGCAACAAAGACCCAGGGAAGCCAAACAAACAAACAGCAACAACAACAACAACAACAGACCACCCAATACTCAGAACACATTAGTTTCTTTGTCCTGTCAATTTCTCACAAGTGTATTGTTTCTTTGTCTAAAACGTCTAAAAGCTGCCTGCTTTGGCTACTTCTTAGGGACCATTTCCATGAGGCCTCTGTGTGTACACATTAAAATGTTTTTCTTTTTCTCTACGAGTCTATCTTGAGTTGATTTTATCATTCAGTTCAGTTCAGTCGCTCAGTCATGCCCGACTCTTCGTGACCCCATGGACTGCAACACGCCAGGCTTCCCTGTCTATCACCAATTCCCGGACCCTACTCAAACTTATGTCCATCGAGTCAGTGATGCCATCCAACCATCTCATCCTCTGTCGTCCCCTTCTCCTCCCATCTTCAATCTTTCTCAGGATCAGGGTCTTTTCCAATGAGTCAGTTCTTCGCATCAGGTGGCCAAAGAATTGGAGTTTTAGCTTCAACATCAGTCCTTCCAATGAATATTCAGGACTGATTTCCTTTAGAATTGACTGATTTGATCTCCTTGCAGTCAAGGGACTCTCAAGAGTCTTCTCCAGCACCACAGTTCAAAAGCATCAATTCTTCTGTGCTCAGCTTTCTTTACAGTCCAACTCTCACATCTGTACATGACTACTGGAAAAACCATAGTTTTGGCTATATNGGCTGTTTTAATGGTTGCATAACATGTCATTCATGCAAGGGCTTCCCTTGTAGTTCAGCTGGTAAAAAATCTGCCTGCAATGCAGGAGACCCCGGTTCTATTCTTGGGTAGGAAAGATCCGCTGGAGAAGGGATAGGCTGCCCACTCCAGTATTCTTGGGCTTCCCTGTTGGCTTAGCTGGTGAGGAATCTGCCTGCAATGCGGGAGACTTGGGTTCAATCCCTGGGTTGGGAAGATATCTTGGAGAAGGGAACAACTACCCACTCCAGTATTCTTGCCTGGAGAACTCCATGGACTGTATATCTATGGGGTCACAAAGCGTTGTACACGACTGAACGACTTGCACTGTCACTTAACATGCCATTACATGCAGGAATCTATTTTATTTGGCCAATTCCCTGCTATTTCCAGGGCTTGGGCATTCTCTTTAATGCTGTGATGCTGTGGAAGGAAGCAGGGAGTTGGTCCAGGACCTATCCAAGCCTGCCCCAGTGCCTCCGCACACACGCCTCACTCCATCCCTACACAGCCCGGAGGTAGGGATTATTACTGGCTCTACAGAGGATGCAGCTGAACTTAGCAGGGAGGTGGGGGAAGTCACGTGTGCAAGCTGCACAGTCAGGGAGCAGGAGACCGAGGATCCCAAACTGCTTCTGTCTTGTTGGGAGGCTCACACTCCTTTCCTTACACTGTGCAGCCAGTTGTTAACTATTGGGAGGAAATAGCTATTTCTTACTCTTGTTCGTCCCTCCAGAACAACTAATATATAGGAGACTGGACCCAAGATGAGATGTTTCCCAAGAACCGGGGGTTGGCTGGAACTGAACCCCACTCTCTAATGCAATATAGTCAACAGTCTGCCCATGAACTCACTTCTAATGAAGACGAGCCCTTGGTACACCGTGGGGGTGGGGAGCACGATGAAGTCAGCAAATGGTCCTTGAGTGCCTGTTGTGCCAGGCACTGAAGTGAGAACAAGTATGTGATGGTGCAACTGTTCCCACTCTCCACCTCAACCCTGGTGCTTAAACAGAGAGCCCGTCCTTACTTGAGGGAGCCAGATGGCTCACAGAGCCACTGCTCACAGAGAAGGCCCAGTGTTCACAGCCAAAGGCAGAAATCTCAGTCAGGCCTCCAAGTCTCGGTCTTGGCTTGGCTCGGTCTTAGCTGCCTGTCTCAGGAAAACCAGAGACAGCCAGAGGGGAGCCCTGGCAGGGAACATTCTAGAACCTGACCCTCAAGGAGCCCCATTCCAGCCTGCAGGCTCCCTCTGTTCATGACCTGCAGTAAACAGTTGGGAGCCCTTCTTGCACTGGTGAGAAGTTCCTCTCTTTACTGGGATGACTGGGCTGGAAAGAAGCTTTTTGGGGGACAAAGAAGAGATGGAGAGGGGGTCCAGAGGGCATTGTGGGTGGACATGCAGCAGGGGAGTGCGTCAGAGTGATGTACACAAGCTGGGTGTGAGTGCACTGTATGTGCAGAGGATGTGTGTGTCAGAGAGTGAGTCCTGACTCCCAGGAGGTCTACAATGCCTTCTAAGGGGCCACCTGCCTTGTTTCCTGGGCAAGTGATATGAGTGATGGAGCTCCAACCTGCGAAGCCCGACATGCCAGACATGGTGCTCAACATGGAGCCGCATTATCATCATTCCTGTGAGTAAGACCTGTCACTGCCCCACTTGACAGATGGGAAGACTGAGGCTCATGGAGGATAGATGGCCTGTCTCACCTGTAAGTAGAAGAGCAAGACCGAAACCTAGTTCTGAATATTTCCAAAGTTATGTCCTTCATGATCCTGGGACATCCCAAGCCATCCTGGGACAGCTCAAGTCTAGGCTCCAGGCCTTGAGCCAGCTGGGGATCACAGAGTGTGGTTGGGGTTGGCAGTGGGCAGTGCCTTTCTGGAGTTTGCAGCAGCAGGAGGTATGTTGCCCTGGTCACACTCAGAATGCCAGACACGCCCTTCCTGCAGGAGTTTTATTTCAGGAACGCTCTGAGGTCAGCCAGCACCACAGCTCCCCGTGACCTGGCTGAGCCAGCCACACCCTGACAGGGGGCTGAGTGATGGTGCGGGCAGAGGATGCCAGCTGACTAGTGGAGAGACATGGCTGAGAGCAAAGCCTTTGGTTATAGGAGTCAAGACTCAACTTGGCCAAAGATGTGACAGTTTGCACATTAAAAAGAATAACTACACATATATTGAAATGTATCCAATATATTGAAATCTATGTGCTTATAATGATATTTTTTAATTTATTTGTCACCTTTGGAGAGTATGAAAGACTCACCATATCATTTGAAAAACTGATAAACAAAGGAAAAGATCCAGTCGCTCATTTCTTAAATGAGCTATACTCAGGGAATCTGATGAAAAACTACAGCAAAATCTAAAGTCACACACAACACTGAAAAGGTAGCCATACTTATGGAGGCAAATGAGTAGAAAAGTTATCTGGAAGGGCACACACCCAGCTGTCTAAAGGAGAAACTGTCTATATAGGAGACGATGGTGGAAAGGGATTTTTAGCCTTAATGCTGACAGCTTCGATTGGGCTTTGGTTTGGTTTTGTTGTGGTGGTGTTGTTATTGTTAACAAGGAAAATGTATTTACATGTTACTTGTGAAATTAAAGAAATTAATTGTTTTTTAAGTTCTGGCTTTGGAGTCAGACTCTTCTAGGGTCAGATTCCCTCTCTGCCTCTTGGAGAAGTTCCTTTGGAGAAGGGCATTCGTGCCTTCGAGTGTGAACTTGGGAGTAATTATTCCTACTTCACAGCTTCCCTGGTGACTCAGAGGTAAAGAATCTGTCTAATGTATGACAAAAGCCACTGCAATGATGTAAAGTAATTAGCCTCCAACTAATAAAAATAAATGAAAAAAAAAAAAAAGAATGTTCGATCCCTGGGTTGGGAAGATCCCTTGGAGGAGGAAATGTATACCCATTCCAGTATTTTTGCCTGGAGAATCCCATGTACATGATCTGGTGGGCTACAATCCCTTAGGTTGCAAAGAGTTGTCACGACTGAGCAACTGAGCATGCACACACACATTCCTAATTCACAGGGTTGTTTCAAAAGCTAAATAAAAGCCTTTCTCATACTGCAGGCTGCGGTGAGCACTCAGGGAATGTGGATATTTTTGAGCCAGAAGGGAGAAGGAACACATGGAGCAGGATAAAGGGATGGAGGGAAAGCAGAGGGGCTGCTGTGATGGGACAAGGATGCCTTCTGACAGCCCATCTGGGCCCACCGCTGGGAACCACACTCCTGGTCCCACTGATGTGGAGAGCGTGACTGAGGAGGTGGGGCTGGGCTCCCTGAGCCCACCATTCCTGCCTTCTCAGGACTGCCCGCAGGAGTGCTCCCCACTCAACCTGGACCCTCAGGCCTCAGCTTGACCTGCACCCCTCTGAGCCAGAGCTGCAGACCAACAAGGAAATCACCACCAACAGGATTTTTTTTGTTTTTGTTTTTTTAAATAAAAGCTTATCTGCAGTTTAGACTGACGGAGGCCATCTTTCTGGCAAGATGATGTCTGTCTGTTTTGTTGCCTGGACATCCAGCAACATCGTTTCAAGAATTTGGTTTTTCCTCTGACGCTGCCCAGGCACACAAATCTTTAGAAACGTGAGTCAGAGTTCACGTGAGAACTGTAAGCAGGGCCAGGCTACGTGCTAGGTAGACAAGCAGGCCCTGAAGAGGGGCCATCAGAGTTTGAGATGTAGGTTCAGAAGGAGCTGGTGAGGTCAGGGTCACGGTCAACACTCACCAAGTTTCAGGGCAGAGAGGAGAGGGTAAGAGGGCAGCAAGTCAAGCCAGGTGGCGTGAGGCAAGGCAGGGTGGAGAGGCGGAGTGCAGGTGAGAGAGT